TGCGCACTGTCCTCCTTAATTCATCTGTTCTCTTGGATTTAAAAATCATTCTTTGAATTTTATTTTATTTTATTTTTTTAATTTTTTTTTTTGCATCCTCCCGCCCCGCCCCGCCTCCTCATTCTTTGAATTTTATCCATGTCAGTATCTTTGGAATCTGTTACTCTGGAGTTATAAACTTTAGTAGTAATGTTATTACCTTGTTTTTCCATATTTCTTGTGTTTCTATGTTGAGATCTGTACATCTGTTGGAATGTAGACCTTTTCTATTTTTATACAGTGGCCTTGCCATATGTACTGCCTTTCTTCTGTCAGTGTGACCTAGAGTATAGGTTTGTTGTATAACACTGAATAATTTCCCTGTAGTTTCTTTGGTTGATCTGTGGGTTTGGCACAGAATGTACCATATCTGGGTTGGGGAGACCCACTGTACCTGGAAGACAAGACTGGGGACACTTTGGTACTTCAGGAAGATGTGGTGTGAGCAGCACAGTATGTGGGATGTACTCTGTGTTTACGTCTATTATGGAGTGTTAACCTGTATCAGGAATTGGGGGTTTACACATAGCTGTTACTTGAAAGAAATTCTGATGCTGGTTCCTCAAGTTGTGTTGAAGGGCCTGAAGCTTTTGTCTTGTGATTGGAGACTGGTGCAGATCTAGGTACTTCACAGGAAGGGGCAGGAGTAGGAATCACAATTCCCCATCTGTGGGACTCACCTTCAGATTTATCAGCCCTTGTTATGGTTTAGATATGAGGTGTCCACCAAAAGCTCATGTGTAAGACAATGCAAGAAAGTTTAGAGGTGAAAGGATTGAATTAAGATAGCCTGGACCTAATCAGTGCATTAAAATACTTGAATGGGTTAACTAGGTGGTAACTATAGGTAGGTAGGTAGAGTGTGGCTGGAAGAGTGGGTCCTGGAAGCATGCTTTTGGGGTATATATTTTGTCCCTGGTGAAGGGAATGGTCTCTCTGCTTCTTGACTGTCATGTCCTGAGTTCCTTCCCTTCTCCATACCCTTCTGCTATAATGTTCTGCCTCACCTCAAGACCAGAGCAATGAAGTTAGCCATCTATGGCCTGTGACCTCTGAAACTGTGAGCGCCAAATAAACTTTTCCTTCTCTACATTTGTTCTTGTCAGGTCTTTTGGTCACAGTGGCAAAAACAGCCCTACTCAATCTGATCAGGTATGGCTGCCATTGATGTAGAGGACCTGTATAGATATACATTAACCACTGTTTTTCCTCTCTGCTACTACATGGGGTTATCTCCCAGGAACCAGACCTCAGTCGCCTACTACAAGTGCCAGCTCATGGACGGATCAACAGCCAGGAGTTTTTGTCCCCCCACCCCTCTTTTCTTTAAATACAGTGTCTTCCAGGGTTCTGGCAGGACCAGAGATGGGCAGAGCTAGGCTTAATTCCTGAGCTGGCTTGCACCAAATTTACACTCTACAACTAGTCGTCATATTTGATCATACAGAACACTTATGATCTCAACAAACATGGAAAGTAGGGATTTAGCAAAGTTCAATTTCAATATCTTTATTCATCCAAAATCTGATATTTGGCTTTGGCTTCCAACTGTGGAAGGTCTTAAGGCTGAACAGTTAGCTGCCTCAGTGGCAATTCTAGCATCCTTCACCTTGTGTGTGTGATAAATAATTTTTATGTTCATGTCACTACCATTATACCTATCTACAAAACATCAGTAATGTGGATTAGGAAGAATTTAGAATGTTCATCAGAAAGTTTAATGGTAGATCAACACCTGAGTATTCATGAAATATAAAGTGAAATATCCAAGTCCTATCAGATGAGTCCTGTGTCTCATAAGTTGAAATTCTGTCAGTTTAAATATAAAAGATGTTTCTTATGAAAGTAAAGATCTCAATTAACGATATATGTGAGTTTTATGTTAAAAAATGAAGAACTTTTAGATCACCAAATATAAAGAATATTAAAAGAGTGATTTAGCTAGATACCTTTGCAAATAACAGTATATGCTGTTTCAGTCAAATGTTTACAACAATTTAAATAACTCAGTTACAAAACAGATACTATCTTTTTTTTTTTTTTTTGAACCAGGGACTGAACCGAGGGTCATTTAATCACTGAATTACATTGCCAGCCCTTTTTATTTTTTATTTTGAGTCACAGTCTTGCTAAGTTGCTGAAGTTGGCTTTGAACCTGAGATCCTCCTGCCTCAGCCTCCCAGTAGGATTATAAACGTGTGCTACTGTGCCTGGCTGCTAAAGTATATCTTAAGTCTAACTTTCACATAACTGTTCTCCAATATTTATTACAAACAAAATAAATAACCTTTAAGAACTGCATTTAATTTGCAGTCTCACAATCAAAGATTCACATTTAAGACTATGAGAATGAATTAAAATGTTGACCTTTTCATCTCAATGTTATATAAAAAAATTATAAACAAAAAAATCTATAATCACAATCAATGACATCCATAAGTCATTTTAAAGTTAAACATAGGTTCAATCCCCAACATAACAAAAAAAGCAAAACAAAGCACAACAAAAAGAATATCAAAAGTATGAAGAAAAAATTGTTGAGGAAAAAAAATGAAAATACAAAACACATTTTACAATCACTAGCCAAATTTTAAAATACACTTCACAAAAATGCAAAAATGCTACAAGACAATTTCTTATCATTTTTGAGAGGGGATGAGGAAATTCTGTGGATTGAACCCATGGCCTGGTGCACGTTGGGTAAGCACTGTTCCACTGAGCTACATTCCCAGTCTAGTTTCTTGTAGTTTTGCATCCATGGAGACAAAGCATCCACAAAGAGGTTTGTCAAAATAACCACTAAACATTGCCAGCAATTTTTAGTAGTTGAAGATGAAGAATCTTTGAGGCCTTCCAAGCTATGAATCTCAGGCAGAAAGATGCTTCTAGAAACTTCCACTAAAAACCCTCCTGAATGCTGTTTTGTCCAAGAAAACTGCTGATGGGACCAAGGATGCCAGCCAGAGAGGTACCAGACACAGTCAGCCCAGCATGTAGCAGCACTCTCCAATGGCTTTTCCTAGCCTCAAATTTCAAACTTTTAAAACCTAACTACTAAAGTGTGATATAACATAGTCATGAAAGATGTTTTAATAAAATCTGAAATTTATTTTTATATCCAGAATTTATATTTTATGATTTATATTTTATATTTTATGATGTTCCACTTGGGCATCAATGACCTGAACACCTGACCCTGATTTTGGGTTAAAGTTCATATTAAATGAATTTCTTTAAAAAAAAAAAAAAAAAAAAAAAGGAGTATGAAAAAAGCCACAAAATTTAAAAATGAAAAGTCAAACTTAGAAAGTTTTCCCCACTTACAAGAGAACAATACTTTCTATCACCTACAATGTGTAGTAAGTCCCTGTTTATAAACCGACAGATTGTTAAGGAACAAGTCTTAGCCTTATTTCACAATTCCTATGACACATGTGAGGTGACAGTGAACAGTAAGAGGCAGACCACTGGACCAAAAATGACTCACATTAGCAGTCTATGCATAAAGACAGTAGACCAAACACCTCCCATCTTCCCTATGCCTTTCCTGTATACACACAACTCTGTTACAACTGGCATTCTTAATGGTAAACTTGAAATTACAGTTCATTGATCACTTAGGTGACTAAGACTAAATTCAGATCCACAAAAATGTCAGAGCCTCGATATTTATGAAGCATACATTTCTGGGGGTAATGACTAAACACATATAATATATTAATTCCTAAAAACAACTAAAACATATAATTTATCCTCCCAAAACTAATTTAAGACCATTAACAGACACAGCCATATTAAGATGTGAATGCTCAGACTTGGGCTACAACTCAGTGGCAGAGCACTTGCCTAGCATGTGTGAAGCACTGGGTTCAATCCTTAGCACCACATAAAAATAAACAAAGGCATTCTTGTCCATCTACAACAACAAAAAGATGTAAAAGCTCAGCCAGGCATGGTAGCACGCCTGTAATCCCAGCAGCTCAGGAGGCGAGGCAGAAGGATCGCAAATTCAAAGCCAGCCTCAGCGATTTAGCGAGGCCCTAAGTACCTTAGTGAGACCCTGTCTCTAAATAAAATAAGAAAAAGGACTGGGAATGTGGCTCAGTGGTTAAGCGCCCCTGGATTCACTCCCCAGTACCAAAAAAAAAAAAAAAAAAAGGGGGCTGGGGATGTGGCTCAAGCGGTAGCGCGCTTGCCTGGCATGTGCAGGGCACTGGGTTTGATCCTCAGCACCACATACAAATAAAATAAAGATGTTGTGTCCACCTAAAACTAAAAATAAATATTTAAAAAAAATTCTCTATCTATCTCTTCTCTCTCTCGTTAAAAAAAAAAAAAAAAAAGATCCAAATGCTCACTCACTTCTCCACCCAGGATGGACATTATAATCATGTGCAGAGCTAATAAAACCCTGAAGTCCCACACCAAGAAGGTTAAGGACAGGGGTCCAGACATCACATTTGGTTTGCTGATATAAAGCAAATGGATTTCTAAGGCTCAGTCAGTGTTGAGAACCTGTACTGGTTAAATGCCATGTCTTGGCAAACAGGCCTGAAATTATTTCATGGTTAGAACCAGGCTTTGCTGCTATACAAAAGCTATTTCTATCATAGGTCCAAAAAGTGACTACCAATATGACCTCAGGAAAATTGCATAACATCTTTGAGCCCAATTCCTCACCTGTAAGTTGTGGATACACCAGAAGCATGCTGTGGAGAAGAAAACAAGTAACACACAGGATGCACCTAGCACAGTGCCTGGCATTGAGTAAGCAATTAATAAATCAGTAGTAATTTGACTAATTACTTCAAGCCACAGAGGGGTCAGTGCCTGGCAGGCAGCTAAAACCATAAATGTGAAATCTTTGAATGCAAAGAAGCACCTGCTACTAATACACCCATGGACAGGGTGAGAATTCCATTCAACCTTCCCCCAACCACTAGACTGCATTTATACCTTACCTGTTCTGAGGAAAATTGGTACTTCAGTTTCCAGTGTTCTCAACTTGGTCTCTTTCATGGTCACTGGAGGGAAAACACACACAAATATGTGCATAACAGTCTTACAATGGAGTAATGTTCATCTGGTACAACTCCTTCCTGCTCCATCCTGACAGAGAGCCATGTGGTTTCTACTGGAATGAACACTTAAAATTATTGGAAGCATGTGTCTCAGCATTTCTGAGCAGCTCACTGCTAGAAAATTCTTTATATGTGCTGTGCTGAACTGGGAATCTCTGCCTTTTGTTAACCATTGGAGCTACAGGGGACTGGGCAAGAGAAGCTCTAGAATAAGTTCCAAGTTGAAATCCAAGCTCTGCCACTTTTTAGTGGTGTAACTTTTAGCTATTGTATCTTAAGTCTAATGTCTGACCTTGAGTCAACCTTACCTGTAAAGTAAGAATAATAGCACCAACCTTGTAAGATCATTCAAGATTAACTGAGATGACACATCTTATTGGAGGACTTTGAGGCAGTCCCACAGGAAAGACAGTAAGAGGCACAAAGCACTGGGTGGGCCTGAACCGCCCTCTCACCCCCACCCCCTACACCCTGGCTTATGCACCTTTCAATTTCTCAGCCAAGCTGCATCACATACCCACCTGAGGACTATGCACACCTGTCCCTGCCCTGCCACCTCCTAAACCAACTCTTTATCCTGAAGGTATCAACTTAAACACTTACTTCACCAGAGAAGCCTGCCTAGGTCTCGTCTTCCCCAACTCCCACCTCCAGACTAGGTCTTATGTCCCTTACTGCAGCCCAATTAATATGTGGAATTCGTTTTTGGAAAAATTTAAGTTGCACTTTGAAGAAACTATAGCTGATTCAATACTCTAGGAGCTACCACAGTGTCTGCTTGTTGACTGAATGATTAAGAGTTAGAATATTTCCTAGATAAATAAAGCCTAATTCTGCCTTTAAGCAGCACTAAATCTAATCCTTCTGATAGGCATAAAATACTTGTGAACAGCTATTTCTCAACTTTCTTCCTCTTTTTACCCTACTTTCTGTCAAATTATCTCATTATTCATGTTAAATGAGTATATATAAATACACTCCAGTCTATTTGAAAAATATTAGCCCTTCAATTATGTTTAGAAATGATCTGATCCACAAGACTGTAAATTCCACTGAGGACAAAGGGCATCTGTTTAGGACACTGAGGCCTATCTTGGCATACAAGAGGCAAAAATACCAAGTTCAGGTCCTTAATATCTCATTAACTTTTTGATCACCATTCTCAGGCTAAATATACAGAATGGAAGAGGGGCCTCATATACTATATACACCAATTGCACTGAACACAGAAGATTCTAGAAACAAACTCTAAGATTTAAAATCCTGATCAAAGTCAAACAGGAGGACAAAGCAACTCTATAACAATGACAGGGTAATAATAGTTCCATGTGGAGCACATTCAGGACCTTCATGCCAATGGTCCTCAGAAATCCCTGCAAGCATGTAAGGCCACTGCTGCAGGCTGGCCAGCACTTCAGAGGAATCAGCCTGGCCACCCTTGCTCCACCAAGTCAGAGAGCTGCAACTGGTGCTGTGTCCTCTCATCTCAGAATCTTTAAATCTGCTGTTAGCAGGGAGTCATGTTGACTTCCTCTTACAATTAATCCCAATTGGATCTTTAACCTGAAAAGAAATATCTAAGGCAAGGGTAAAATTAGCATACACCAAGATGAGACCTTGCCCAGACAAGATTCCTGAGCAAGATAAAGTAACTACCAGTGGAAAGCAAACAAGGTTTTCTCCAGTGCTCAATACTAAGACTCAACATCTTAATCATCACAATTAAAAAAAAAAAAAAAAAGTAATGGGACTTAACCAACATAATTCTTCATGCTGTCACCATTATTTATATTTTAAATGTTCATTTATTCACTTATATATACACCCTGCCCTTCGGGGGTACTACTGGGTACCAGCATTCAGATCAATGAAGTGAGATATAATGTGTGAACCTACCTGGAAGTGAGGGATATTGATGTTAACACCTGTTAGAACATAATAACATCAACTCTCATTCTTCCAAAACCAAATGAAAAAAGAAACATCCCAAAATCTAGGTTTCTCCCTTTTTGCTATCTGCTCCAAAAGTTATGTTCTCACCTATATGAAACATTGTAACTTCACTCCTATAAGCAGTCTTTTTGAATACAGAGCAGGTTTGAGGGGAAAGATGAAGGCTCCATGCTTTTGGTATTCTTCAATTAAACAGAAGGAACATACAGGTCCGTTTGTTTTCACAGTTAATATAATTAATTTCACTCTTTAGGTGCTTGTAGATAGATAGCTTATATGCCTGGGATTACACGTGTACTTCAGAGTAAAAGCCACAGCTGTCATGAGCAGAATCTGTACCTGCCCTAGACAAGATGCATTATGAGTGCTACAAGGGCTAAGAGCTAGGAATAACTTTATGAAATGCTAGCGGCAGGCACCTAAATGCCTTTAGTAAGTATTCTAGCTGAAATTATGAGCTGAATATTCAGATATTTGGAAAACCAGTGTTGTGATGTGTGGCCTAGAAAACTAATCCCCAGGCTTCCCGAGGACTGTGACTGACATAAAAGAGGTAACTGCATATCAAATCACCTAAGAGAGTTTTGTACACATTTGTCTATAATATACAAAGGCAACTGCAGATATGTGAAGGTAGGTATTTCTTCACTTTAACTTGTTTCCTATATTCAAGTTTTTAGCTTCAAGAATCCAAAGACAATTCACACAGATTCACATACAAATGGACTACTGCATCATAAAAGTACAGTCTAGATAGAGCAGAAACATTACACTATTGTATTTATGTTCAGCTCTGGTTCGTGAACTCTCAGGTGATTTCTTAGAGTAATATTCTAACAATTGAACCAAGTTGCCTTCAGCACTAATGCACTAATGGTAAAATACTTGGTCCAATTTTTTATTCTTATGGATGCACAGATAAGAAGGGGTAGAAAATACTGGAAGACGGGGCAAGAAATCTGCTGCACTTAGTATTCGAGAGTAAAACAGCTGATGGCCAAAGGTGCCAGAATGTGTAGGCAAGAACAATTTAAACTGTCTCAGCAGTTACTCTCTTCTCAAGGTCACAGGAGCTGGGGCAGGAGAGCTCCAATTTGCCAGACTCTCTATGCAAAATTTCTGTCCTTTGGCACCTTGACAGACTGTTCACTAAAGTTCATGTCTTATTCCAAAGGTGATGAATCCTCTAGCAATGTACCTGCGGGTCCAGATTTTGGTAAGGTGCATCTCTTCCAATAATATTACTTACATCCTGATTTTCTATTAGCATGAATAAAATTATATACCAAAAATACAGCCAGAGAGATATCATGTATGTTTCATAAAGTCACCATGTCAGAATTAAGGCTTCTGTAGGTTTCAAGTTTATAGGATCAAAATAGAAATATTTTAGGGTAGAAAGGCACCAGGTTTGACAGTCTAGAACAGTGGTTCTCACACCACCAGCATCAGCATCACCTGGGAATTCGTTAGAAATGCAAATTTTGGGGCCCTGTCCTAGATTTCTGAATCAGAAACTGAGGGAGCGAAGGCTTTGAGGTGCTTCTGATGCCCACTATGATTAAGAATCACTGGCCTACAAAGAAGACAGAGGGAAGAAGGAAAGAAACATCATTCATTCATTCACATCTGCTTTGAAGCTCAAAAGGGAAAAAAATATACACAAACCTTGGGAAACTAATAGAATTCTTCCAGGTGCAAAGAAACAGACTGAATGCCAAGCCTGAGAAGCACCTTGCAGGTTGTATATCCAAGTTCTTCACTTCTCTTTTACTGTGGCATCTAAGGTTGAATTTTCCAGTAAAGTGTAAAAAATCTTCCACTACGAAAGTTTAGTAAGATGGTTGGTGACACAAATAACACACAAGTTCACTTTGAAAAGACTTAAGCCTTTCTACCTACTGGTTTAAAGAAACCTGTTTCATACAGCTCAGGTCCTTTTTTAAAAGCAATAATCCATCCAAAATCACTGGCTAGGCTTTAAGCTGAGTTCATTAAGTCTCTGACATTACATCCAAAATTCCACGTTCGTATGCATTTTTTGGTGGTAATGGGACACAAAGGGTAGAGGAAGGGACATAGCTTTTTATAGATTTTTAGAAGAAATAAAACCTGCCCCCACAAAAATTAAAAACCACTGACCTCTGAGTTAATTAGGAGATGAACAGATCAGATAGTTTATCACAGTGCAAGATTAAACACTGGGATTCTGGAGTCCACCAATCAATTCCTATCTCAGCTCTGTCACTGAGTAAGAGACCTTAGGCAACTTACTTCATATCCCCTAAGCCTTCAATTCCTTTCTTACCCTGCCCTCTTAAGGCTGTATGAAGAGTAAACAGGATTAGACATGTAAAAAGCTTAGCACAATGTTTGGCACATAAGCACTCTATTTAATCTCTCTTGTAACAACATACTACTAAACAAAATGTATTGCTGAGTACATAGCATGTAGCAGTCTATCCATTTAACACCTTGTGTTTGAAAGACCAATAAAAATCATTCTATAATTTAAAATGGATACACTTCCAAGTTTGTCACTATGTTCTGTGAAAGATGCAGATCGCACGGTCTTGATGACAGTAGACTGGGAAGGGAACCACATCTCTTCTTCCCAGCACCTTCTACCACATCACCAACTCCAGGCACAACCATCTTGTTGCTCCAACATAGTCCTCTAAAGCCATATGTTTACTTCACAGATTGACTTAATCAAAGCTGCTTTATTAAGGCACTTTACTCACTAGATGTCAATCTGAACACATTCAAACTTAAAATATATTCTGTTGCCCTCTTTTCCTCTATACAAGACAAGTTAGAATTCCACAATAGCCAACAAGAAACTAACGAAGTCCTGAGATCATGTACTTTTTATTTAAATATATATTATGAATTTTTATCCTATCCCATTAAAAAAGGACATTAAATTATAAATTTTTAGTGCCTGTACGTTTAAGTAGTAAATCAGAGAAAGAATAATCTCCAACTGCTATTGGAAGGCTTCTTCAAACCAACTTAAATGGAAAAAATAAGTATTTCATGCAAACTAAATTATATTAGTTATCAACTGATGACCTGAGTTTTAAAAAGCTCAGTGTTTGAGTGCGTACATTTGTACATTAATATATACACACATATGCAAACAACTACAAATTAGAATGCTACTGAGTATACTTTTCTTTCATGCCTACAGCTACTGAAACGACAAAACTAATACAAATGAAACCAATTCTTCAAAGAGAGTTTTATAATATAAAGAATTCATAGGGAATCGCCTTTTTAAAAATACTATGATATAAAGAATAAATACCTATCAAGTGAGCTAAAAGTCACCAATTCATTTGATTTTTTTTTTCTTTTTCAATACCAGAGGTACCATCTGCAGCCCTTTTTTATATTTTATTTAGAGATAGGGCCTTGCTAAGTTGCTGAGGCTGGCTTTGAACTTGCGATCCTCCTACCTCAGCCTCCAGAGCCACTGGGATTACAGGCACGTGCCACTGCACTCCATTCACTTGATTATTACACAACTATTGACACTTTGAGTCCATGGATTTAGTTGGAATGCTTAGCTGAAGCCAAAATGACTTTTAAATTCCAGAAATTTAGACTTACAGATACTCATTAGTTACAGTCCAACTCTTCCTTCACAGATGGAGAAACTGAGGCTCAGAGAACTTAAATAACTTTTTAAAAGTTTTTTTGTTGCTGTTGTTTTTTGTTTTGTTTGTAGTACTGAAAATTGAACTCAGGGGCTTTCTATCACTGAGCTACATCCCCAGGCCTTTTTATTTTCTAATTATGAGACAGGGTATCACTAAGTTGCTTAGGGCCTCACTGAGTTGCTGAGGCCGGCCTTGAACTTATCCTCCTGCCCCAGCCTCCCAAGTGGCTGGGATGACAAGCATGTGCCACCTGCTAAGTTGAATACGTTTTGACTCTTTAGAAAAGCTTGAAATATTGATATATTGCTGTATTTGGCTCATTGGCATCCAAGAATATCCAGTTAACTCCAGGAGAAAATAATTGTAGTCCATCATGCCACTGGAACCTGGAAACAAACATACCTGTAGCCTCACAAACTTGGAAAGAAAACAGAACTTTAAGTTCAAATAAGCTCTAATTCAGAGCCCAAAACTCATCCACCATTACACACACCAGAGGCTGGCTATTTTAAGAAATGCCTCTGCAATAAATTATAAATGAAAAGAAAACGGTCAAACTGATGCTTTAAGCCCGTAGTCATCAGGTCATCAACTTCCGGTGTATGTGAGAATTAGTCTTCTTCCAAAATGTTCCCAGTGACGGGGTGTCCTCAAAGACTGAACATTGTAGGTCTACCTACACAGGTCGGATACCTGTGCTTTGAGATTCAGTGCATTTTGAGATTCCTTGTTCATGGCATTTTCGTTATTCTGTAAACACTACACAAACAGGTATATGTTAGATTTACCTACTGAGGCTGCTCAATTTCATCTCATGACTGGAACCAAGCATGCTCAGAAGGCCCTAAATTATACAACAGCAGCAGTGACAGATGTCTTCACTCACCCAGTGAACGAAGAGTACAACGGAGTCACAGGGTTTGAGATACCCCTGTTTAATTAAAACATGCAAGAAGGCTAGTAGCCTTCTTTCCAACCAGAAATTTAGGAACACACCAAGTGTTTATGACACCAGGAAATGCATGAAGCAAAGAAAGCTTACATCATGCAGGCACGTGATGTAAGAGTATTTTGGATAAGATATTAACTTTGGTAAGAGGATATTTTCCATTTACATCTCCCATAAATACCCCTTAAGTTTACACAAAGTGGTTAGAGGAAGATTCTGCAGCTCCCCAGGGCAATAATAAAGAATGGTTCAGTGTTTCTGAGGAGCCTCATTTGCCTGATGCACGACTGTTATAGGTATATTTCCCTTCAAAACCCTAAATCAGTTTTTATATTTGCATATTCCAGGTTTCCTCAGGAATGCTCAACTTAAGAATCACAGGTGGCTGTTCAGCAAATCAAAGGCTCCCATAAGATTAGGTTTGTAATGCTTCCTGAAATTTACTGCTCCACTTTCCAGCATGTTTGAATTCAGATGACTCCAAGTTGATCCCCAAATCATAAATCAAAATATCTCAGAGGAGTATTATTCTATTTTAGTACTTTTACAGCTTACTCTATGTAAAATGAAGTGCTATTTCCACACTTTCTATTAAAAAAAAAAAAAAAAAAAAAAAGCAAGGATTATAGCAGGACTTCTTGCCATAAATACATCAGGTTTAAAAAATACCAAATACTTTCCAGCCTAATTTAGAGTAGCAAGTTTACAGGCACAACACTATCAGAAACAAAAGCATAAGGCATATAAGCCAAGTGCACCCCCCTTCAAAACGAAAGACACACACACCTTGACCAAATGATTAATTCTAATCACTTAATGACAGACCAGCTTTAGCAGTCAAATAAAAGAGTCATGTCTTCGAAATCCGTCAGACCTCAGTTCCAGTCCTCGCTCAAACTAAGGAGTATGACCTTGGACAAGTTACCCCAACCTACTCTGGCCTCAGTTTCTCCATCTGAGAGGACTAGAGGTATTTATAGTAACCGCCTCTTCCTTTGAGCAAAACCAAATAGATGGTGACTGCAAAGCACTTTACAGGGCCTGGCACACAGTCAGCAACCCACAAATTTTAGCTGCTGTTAGGAGTTAGAGGTCCGCGCCCCCTCCGAAGTCTCCCTCATCCCAAACCCAAAAGACAGAAAGCAAAACTCTTTAGCAGGCAACAAAGAAAGCGCTTTAATTCCAAGAGGTGTCTGACTGCAGGCTCCACCAGTTCCTCGAATGAATGAATGAGCGGTTCTGCGAATAGCTGTCGCCTAAGAATCACCTCTGCGGACCTCAAGGTAACTGTCCTCCACCGTCAATTAAACACCCACGAGCATACCCGGAGCTAGGCACTGCGGTCATGCAAATTTTGGCGGAGCCCGGTGCGCAGAGCAGCTTTGGATGCCCACGAGCGGCCTCCATTCATTCTTCTCCGCCCCGTCCGGGTCATCTTCTGAGGCCCAGGACCCGCCCCAGCCAGGCCAGGCCCGGCCCGGCCCGGCCTGGCCCCAGCGGCTGAGGGTCCCTCCCCCGCCCTCCGCGCCCGCGGCAACCTGTCGCCCACCGAGCAGGGCCGGCCCGACGCCGCCTCGGCTGCCCTCCGCACACCAGGCCGCGTGCAGCCCACCCAGCGGCCGGGCCCATCTCACCTCCTCGGGGATCCCGCCAGCCCCGGCCGGGCCCCGGGGACCGGCCGGGCCCCGGGGACCGGCCGCGCAGAGAGAGGGAGCGGAGGGCGCTCCGTAGCCCCGGCCCAGGCCCCCCACACCCAGCCGGCGCGCCCCTTGTCTCAACGCGCCGGGGCTTCCCCGACGGGGGCCGAGCTACCAGGGCCGCCCCGAGGAGCTCTACGCGAGAGGAACAGCGGACGCCCCCATACTCACCCACCTCTCCTCCCCCGCCGCTGTTTACCTCACAGTCCCTCCAGCCTACAGGGCGCCGCCATCTTGGACGCGCAGCACCTCCCCCTGGCGTGAAACGTCCACGGACGCCGGAAGCCTCCGCCACGGAAAAGAGTCCCCAGCCGGGCTGCGCCTCGCACCCGAAACCAGCGACGCGCGGCCGAGAACCGCAGCGCCGCCGATGGAGCGGGCCGTTGCGCTCATCTTTGAGGCTGCGGGCTGCTGCTGAAAAGGACCAAGGAGCGTTTTCAGTGCAGGGGGCGGGGACGGCGGAAGGATCCCAAAGGGAGGCGGCCGAGAGATCTTGTGACTCCGAAGGAGGCGAAAGAAGGCCCGGCGCGACGGGAGGAGCCACGCGGCGCCGGGGGCGGAGCGGGCGGGGCGCTCACGTGACGCCGGCCGAGGCGTAAACAAGCCGGCCGGCGGGCGTGGCGCGCTGCTGCTTGTAGTGCGCTCGGTGGTCTGGGGTTCTCCTGCGCGCGGCTCTGGGCCACGGTCCTGCTCCCCGACCTGTCTCTGCGGCCCGCGTGGGTGAAAGGCCTGCTCTTGAGCCATAGGGTGGGGGTGGGGGTTGCAATCTCTCTTTCTTTTGCAGAATATTTGCAAAAGCGCGGCGCTGTGTCTCTGCGGAGAACCACTCTGGCTTGTGCCATCATGTTACCGACACTTCACACTTACCTACTTGTGACACCAGAAAAAAACAGCCCTAGTAAAAGGAGGCAGCCTTCAAGTCACAGACCTTGATTTGTATCCAGCTCTGCTACTCCTCGCGGTGACAAGCCCAAGCTTCCGTTTCTTTCACTGAAATGGGCACAATATTCACGAAGTGGGGGATCCAGGAGATACAGCATGGGAAGCGTTTAGCATAGGACCCCACGTCTAATAGGTACTTAGTGGGTGATGGTCCCTAGGAGGCAGGGGGCAGGATGAAAGCCTAGAGGGGCAGAGAGCAAGGCAGGGCAGAGTCTAGCTGTGGTATCTGAAAGGCTTTGTGGAGTGGGCATCAGGCTGGGTGTTAAAGAACAAAAATGGAAGAAAGGGCATTCCAGACAGAGAGAACCAAAGAAGCGAGAGCCTTCAGCAAACAAATGGAGTGAGTGATTGGAATAACATGGAAACCAACTAGGTCACAACACACGTTGGCATGTGATTAAGGAGTGAGATGGGGAAGTGGCCAGCACAGTGGATGCTGTCAGAATTCTGAAAAGTCAGGGTGGTCCAGGGAAGGGCTAGTGCTGGTGGGATTGGTGCCCTTGTGGAATTAGAAAAGTACACCCCCCTCTGGGCCCACTGTCCCAATGAGCAGAGCTCAGCCCTCATTTTCCCCCTCCCACCCACTCCCAAACCTCATGGGGGAACTTTGAGCAGTGGACACCCTTTAGAATCAGATTATAAAGCTTTCTCCAGAAGGCTTATGAGGAAGGTGGAAACTGAGCTGGGGAGTCCATGGTCCAACACAGTTACACAGGCAGCTGAGGAAAGCCAAGAGCTCTAGATTCAAAGCAGTTTGAATACAAGTTTTGTCACATGAAGAGAGATGGCTTGGAAAAAGTGTCCAGGGAGTTACCAGAGAGAAGGGGAAACTCAGGACCAGCCCAGTTCTTGACACACCTGATGGAAAAGAATTTCGGCATGCACCATTCAAAGACATACAGGTTTATTTAGGAGAGTAGATACATATCCGAGGGAAAATGTGGGCAGTCTTCAGATGGAGAGGAGAGACAGCAACCTGTTGGTGTGGAGATGAATATTCATAGAGGGATTATTGCTAGGGTCTGGCTACAGGGTGAGCCAGGTAGAGCTACGTGACTGCACGCCAGTGTTCCCTGTACTTGCACATTCCCCTCATGGGTTACAAGGGCCTGGACCAAGGCATGTGCTCAGGAGCTGCCATTCTGCATGGGTGCTCTGCATTTCAGTCGTTCGTGAGTGTCTCCTGCATTCCAGGGGTTTCTGGGCACTTCCTTTGAGACTCAGTATTTCTCCCTTTATTCCCAAATTCCTATCTCAGTTTCTGCTCTCATGGTAACAGTGAGCCTTGGTCTCCTCACCTGCAACATAGGGTGATAATAATGGGCACTTGGGGCAGATTCAATGAGAGATTAAGATGTAATTAGTGCAGAGCCGATTCCATCCATGTCAGATTTATTGTTAGCTTTGCTCACCACCAGCGGCCAACAGTCTCTGGAGTTGATCTGCCAATTCTTGTAGCTACCCAAGCATGGTCCTTCTGGAAGGGGGAAGGATCCACGTGCTCTCAGTTCCACAGGTCTGTAAACCAGATCACAGGAAGAGATACTGCCTTTGCATACTCACCAGTGCTGGCATTCAAGTTTGTTCAGAGATTTCTGAGGCCACCAGTGGCTGGGAGAATTAAGGTTATTGAGGAGTCGGGTGGAGGGCTCAGGCACTGCTCCAGAGTGCTGACCCTGGAGCCCCGGCTCTCTACCCCACCTTACTTGGCTCCATGACATCCTGCTGGAATTCACTCCCCCTGTAAGGGAGCAGGGATGCACAGAGCTCATCAGCAGCTGGCTCTCAGGGGGGCTGTAAATACATTGTTACTGTTTATACAGTGTTTGGAAGAAGAATGGCAATTGTTACCTCAATATGGACTGCCAAGGGCTAGTGAGAAGAGGAAGGGAAGAAGCCTGAAGAAGGCCCTGCTACCTGCTCTTACCCATCTGAGATGCCTGATATTTTTGTCTTCTCTGAGGTTGAATTTTGTCACTTGTGGAATACATGTTACTCACACCCCCTCCTTCTCCACATCAGCCCAGAGTCTCCCATAGCAGGGGCCTCCAGTTGGTAGGTATTGCTGACTGTGGACACTGTTGCACTTGTCTGCAGCATCTCTCCCTCCCCCTCTGAGGAGGTACATTGCCTTTCCCCAGTTCCTCACCCGACAGTCACAGTGCTGCCCCAGGCCCCAGAACCTGGACTAGGCCTAGCCAATCCCATCACCTAGCAAAGAGATTGGCCCACTGTTGGTCACGTGACTTGAGCACAGCCAACTGGAATGCTTCCCTGGGTCTTTATATATAGACACTAGAAGAGATTTCTCTCTTTCTCTGGGGGGTCACCAAACTGGGATGAGGAAGCCATGACCTTTCCCTTCCCCGGTACCATATGGAGCTATATGAGAACCCTGGCACAAAGAGAAAGGAGACACTGAGACAAGAGGGATGAAGGGACTGGAGGGTGTGGTTCAATGGTAGAGCACCTGCTAAGCTTATCCTCAGGCCAAAAAGGAGGAGAGAGATGGAAAGAGAAGAGCAGATGCTGGCTCCTGCATTTCTGGAGTCCCTGAGACCAACTTTATCTTGTTTTTCCAACTTCCACAAAGCAATAATTATTTCAGCTGATGCTGGCTTCCATAGGTTTGTGTCCCTTCTGAACAAAAGGCCTTCTGGAAGGATGAACAGGACTGGGAGGCCTCCGGAAGGACAGCATTAGAAACATCCCCCCACCCAGTGCCTGAAGCTCATCCATTTGAATGTTCTCTGGCTTCAGCTTTCAGCAGTCTGCATGATAGCTCCTGGCCAGTCTCCCTGACTTCAGTGACCACACATCTGCAGAATCAAGACCAAGCCCCTTTGCAGCCCTGACCTCTCCTCTTGCTGTCCAGCACCATGTCCCCCAGTGCCCTGGACACCTAGAAGCTTCATGCCTGCCCTTCTCAGGCTGTCTCCACTTCATACAGGCAGCCTCATCCTCCTGTGCCAG